GTAACCCATCCTGTCCCATTTTCAAATGAACTACGCGGCCACGCCCACCGGCTCTCAGAGATATGGGGTATGCGGTCCATTCACAAGAGCGGTGCCTTGATGATGTTATCTTACAACTGCTTCTTGTATGTATAGGTGCTATATTTCTGCGTCGGAAATAAGAGCCCCCCCCCCTTCTAAAGATTACTAGATGCCTAGAACTGGCATTACCTCAACATCTCAGCCGCTCTTGAACTCCCTCAATTCTTTCCTACCACGTCTGCTGTAATCCTCGAAAACTGTTAGACACTCACAATGTCATCCGGGAAAGCAATGAGACCCGTACTTCCGTGATCGGAGAAGTAGACGAAGATCCGATCATTGATTGTACTGCAACTCAATATCTTCATAATTGATTGGAAATTTTCTGAATAAGCAATGCTTGCCTGTTGATAACACGGCCGTTTCCGCCCTTCACAGCTTCTTTGTCGCCTTTCAGAACGGCAAGGAAATTTTCTGGAGTGACCGAATCGTCCTGTACAAAAGACTAAGTAGACAGGGAGCTTCATAGAAATAACATAACACCTTGACACTCACTTTATAGTCAATGTTCAATCCTTGGTAGACATCTGGGCCATCAGGTGCGTTGAAGAGCTTTCCCTTCTGCGGGTTCCTAAGAGGAGACTTATCAAGCATGATTGAGAAAGAATTGTAGAAAGGGTGCTATATATTGGGATAATGACATAGCAGGCAGAAACTTGCGAAAAATACGCGACATTAGACGAGCAGTTTTAGATGAGTCTCCCGTGGGCATCGTGGCAACAATCTCTTGATGGATACGGCTACATGTATGTATTCTGGGGCGGAACGTTGCATCCTGGGCGCCAGAAGGGTGCCCTTGCTTGAAAAGGCGCCAGGCACGGCCTGTTAAGAGGCACAGTAGTCGTCAGTGCTAGAGGTATCAACCTGCACTCCTCGTCGATTTGTTGTGACACTTATGGCGACGCAAATAAAAACAATGATTGCTTCAAAATCCTTTGCTAACGCCCTATGCAAATCAAAATCCTTTGCTAACGCCCTCTGACAAACTTCTGCCCTAATTTCTAAAGGTATCCGGAAGCGCACCTGAAAAACGCTAACGTCATGCAAAAATTTGCGTTAACTGGCACTTTCTTGCCCTCCTGATGACATTGGTAAGAAACGATTCCAAGATTGTAAAAGCAGAGATTCGCTTGGGTCAGCTTCCAGGGGCTAGCGAGGGCTAGTGTTTGGTCGTGCCATTTTGTGGAACAGCATCACCTGTAGTCTAGTTCGCTGCGGATGCCTGCGTGTGTCAGGAGACTGAGCTTAGCGCGACGCCAACCCTTTTTCGAACCAGTCGCTGTGGCTTGTCCACTTAAACAATTGCTGGAGAACGGACTGGCCGGTGCCAAACCCAGCCCCTGACACTCCGTAGCATTTGTGGCGAATAAGACCCTATGCTCACCGTGATATCATTAATCAGCGAAAGTTGCACGTACCTGGGATCATTGGCGATGTCGTCGTACATCATGACGATTATATTCTCCTTTTTCACTCCATGATTCAGCAGAGTGTGATAGGAATGGGCAACATCAGCCTGGGTGTGCAAAGTTGATTAATGATGGAGGATTGGGGAATAATCCCTGTTTCACTTGGAATTGAAGAATATTTTTGAAATTTATCACTTTCATCATAAAAGAAAAGGAGGCTTAAAGGAGCGATCACGTTCATTTGATGTTCTCGCCCTCTCTGGATATCATAGCCCTCCCTATGAGGATGCAGTATGTACTAGTTTTGCATCTCAAAAAGGCGAGAGGATAGCGCCTAGTGAAGAGTCGGCCGCCCCGCCCACCTGGCCAGCATAGGGTTCTATATAGGGCATTTTCCATGATTTTTTCTGCTTTTTTCTTCACTACTGGATCACGTATTATATGAGCTCCATAACTCATTATTCTTGAAAGCGGGCTCAGCCTTTAAAGGCTAAGCCAAAGCAGTTATGGCAGCCAGGTGGGCGGGGCGGCATCCTCTTCACAAGCGGGTGGCGCCATCCTCGTATTTTTGAGCTGCGAAATTAGTACATCCTCCACCCTTGTCGACAAAGCTACGATAGCTAGGGAGGGCGTAAGAACATCAAATGAAGGCCAACGAAGGAGACAGACAGACAGACAGACAGACAGACAGACAGACAGACAGAGAGACAAAGAATAGGAGGAGCGGGGTACATCGTTGTTGTGGGTCCCACCATAGGGATTGCTTGCTGGGAGAGGAGGGCTCGCATTCGGGGTTGAAGAAAATCTATTTTGATAGTTGTTTTTTCTTGTTTCACGGACTTTGCAATGGGGAAGGTTGTACCAGTACCAACCCCCTAGGAAGAAGGGAGGGAGTCGTACTTTCTCAACCAAATCCCCAACCAATGATGTGTTCTGAGGGTATGGAATAAGGATTCTTCCTCACCGTGGAGGTAAGCGAGAGTTGGGTCAAATTTTACAGTCATTTCCCACTTAATGGGTAATGTACTCCTTAATGAGCTTTACATGAACAGGAATCGGAGAATGGTGTAGCTTGGAGACAACGCGGGGAGGGGCTTTACTGACCAGAGACTTCAGCGGCCACACTATAGGTTGCGCATAACAAATGCGACAAATTTCACGATTCTCTTGCCCGCCTTCGATCATTGGACATGTCCCAAAAGGGTGTCGGGGCCTAATGACCGCTGTATGCGATAGCGCAAGCGACGATTCAATTAAAAACCAATAGCGCAGAGGTATCAGCATCGTGAATTCACGGGGACCGTAAATTTGCGCTTTAAAAAACTCGGATGTGTGAAGAACGTCTCTGTCAAAATTAGTTAACCAGAAGCACTGATTGTCAACATAATTTTCTAAGCATCCTGAGTAGAACACAAACATAAAGATTGCAACATAAAGAAGAAGTAATTTTGCTGTGCCCTTTTCTGAAGCCTATGGACTCATCTGCTTGCATAGACAAGCATCTTGTTGCACCTTTCAACCACCTCTGCGCGGCAGCCTAATGCATGGCTCATCCAGGGATGAAGCCAACTGGCGCTAAATGAACTACGTCTCGCTCCAGTTCCTTTGTGTTCCTAGGTATTCGTCAGCTAGCAGCAACGCATCCATCCTTAGCCCAAAAAGCACAAACTGTAAAGGCTGAGTCTGTCTGGAATGCGCATCGCAACACCGCCGTCGTCCCTGCTTGAAGATGAACTGTACTCATCTCCCTGGTTCTTGTCCCTTGTAGTCCAGGGCACGCCATTGCGGTTGTGATCATTTACTAAAAAATACGACCCCCCCTATATCCATCTTCAGTCCCCGGGGGGGGGAGGTCGCAGTACCACGTACGTCCCAAGCACGTCCAGCACTCTGGCGCTGGTGTAGCATACTGACAATACGTACGAGGAAGGGACGATGATAGGAGCTACAATCACCGCCCACAAGGGCACCATGAATTTATAATTAAGCAAAAGGACTCACGACGTGACGATTAATAAACCGATGAAAGTGATCGTAGGGCACATTTGCTTGCAATTGGGAAGCCCTATCTAGAAGTTACACCTTCCAAACACCTGCGTGAAAGCCCCATGCATGGCGCATTGCAGAGGTGATGCCAATTGGCGCCCAATGGCCTATTTCCTGATACCCTTTGCGAAAACATGTCTCTTAGAAGCATACCAAAGTCATCAAGCCAACCGGAGGTTTCATGGCCTCGGAGGGGTTGATTTTTCGGTGTCGTGGGGGGTGATTACAAAATGATCACAACGGGGAATTTTTTCGAATAGTAGGTCTAGGAAGGAAATTAAAACCTTGCTGGAAAGTAGAAATCTTCAAGCTTCCGGCACAGTTCTTTTTTTACGAAAGGTCGTGTATGAAGCTTGCCATGGACGTCCAAAGCGTAGCGACTCGCGGTTCGCAAAAATGATCACAGACGGATCACAACGATGATCACAACGGGGAAAATCTCTGGAATCGGAACGTTTTTGAAATCGCTCAATTCAGGTGACAAGAGCCAACCTAGCTCTACTCATTCCCACTTACCCCTCTCCGATAGCTTCACTTTCAACGAAGTTATGGGTGTTCAAATGAGGGGTACTTTTCACGTGTTTGGCTTGAAATTGGCTCCAGGCCGTAAAATAGCGCGCACCAATGCGCTTGTATGAGCGCGCTGACCGCGAACAGCCAAAATTCAAAAGTAATCCATAGTTCCGGTTCCCAGCTGAGCGGTGAGTTTTTTTTTATCCATTTTATTGTGAATTACTTTGATTGTTTGTTTTTGTTGAGTTTAATTTTGTTTTGTTGAATTTGATTTTGTTGTGAGGAAATTGCTCAGGATTCAATTTCTACGGTTTCATAGGTAGCTTTTGCAATGGATTCTTTTCTAGATTTTGCGGATTAGTGGATTGGGATTTATCTAGACCAGATGAGGAGGGTTGGTGGGCGAAGTGTCTTGAAGTTTTTTTTGTGAGGAAGGAGGAAAAAGTTTCAGCAATATTTTTTTAATTCTTGGCCTAGGAATAGTTCGATAGTGCCTAGTTCTATTTATTGTCATCTACATCGTCCCTTTTGAGCTTCTTTTCACTTGTACCGTGTATCACCGCTCTCTCCACTTCAACATGGGCCATGCGTTTACGACCCCCCCCCTCCATCGCGGGCAAATACGACCCCCTGTTGTGATGATCACAAAGATGGCGTGCCCTGCTTGTAGTCCGCTGCTGCAGTAGCGTGCCCCTCCAGTCAGAAGTGCACGGGATCTGTACTGGAGGGTGATGATACTTGCATACACCGCCCGCGCTGATGCACGGCCAGACAAACGCCTAACCATAACCAAACGCGGTACTCGTGTGACCCTTTCACTTCTGGTTGTTTTCCACCATCGAGTGGGTGCTTCGCTTCGTAACCTTGGTATCGACGCAAATGCTATACCAAGGCCCCGCAGGTTGAGGATGGCGCGAGCGTGTATGGAGACAGCACTCGAGTCCCATTGCCTCTACAGCACCGTTCCCCTTCAGAGAATCGTGCTAGTCTCGCAATAGGTCAGGTCACCATATGCGCGCAAACGGTATATCTCGAGGTGAGGACGGTAAAAGTTCTAATAAAGCTACTCTGTTCCTTCAGTATCGATCTACTGCATGATGTTTATCAATCGCTGCATTCCAACGGGTACTTCTGGACCAGACAAACCTTTAGATGGCTTTAGAAAGACTATTGTCGAAACGTAGAATTCATGGTACCATTAAAACATCTCTTATAGGTTTCCCGTTCATATCGAAAACAAGCCCTAATGATCGCAAGCAGCGATGAAAACTCTTTGTGGCTGGATGACCTCACCGAGAGACTTGCTACGCCGCCCTTCCCGTGCACTTTTGAGCGGAGAAAGGGGACGATACTGCAGCTGCGGCCCCATATAACCAGAACCGTCTTCGAGGGTAAGTGTGCAGTCTGCCTTCAACGATGGTTACCAGGATTTGAACTGACCCTTTTGAAAGGATTAGACTCAGTTGTGTTTTTTTCATATATTCCGGAAGGGTGTCAACGGAATTTTTTTCATTTTAATGGTACTTATGAAATGTAAATAGTTCAGAATCTAACCTGATGACGATAATTCCACCATCCGTTGGATCCGGCTACCAGCACAGCATGCACATTCCCCTTCGGTGGATTGGAATCGCTGAAACTCAGCATTTCAATAGGCAAAAGTTGCGCAGGAGAGCTTTCAGGATGTTCCAACTGTGGACTTACACTTACATAGAAACCGCTGAGACTACCAGCGCTGCCAGCGAGATGATTTGAAGCAACATCTTCATCTGGAAAAGGACGAGTTATTTTACTGCGGACTTCCAAAAGCAACGCTTAGAATTTTCTAGACGCAGGACTTTATTTTGGTTTGACAGTTTGAATTTCAGGAACAAAAATGTGGAGAGCATTCTGATGGAAAAGCTGCGAGCTGGGAAGTTTTAAATACCAACATTCGGCACTGTTAAGTAAATGTAATGGCCTGAACAGCAGATAAGAAGCTCTCAGAGGGACCGCCTAAAGGGCAGAGATAGTGAACGAAGTACACAAATTATCTAATGTAAGCGTATAAAGAATAATGCTCCACAAGTCGTACGCAGCACATTCCATTCGAAGGATTTCCGGTCCTTTTTTTCCAGTATTGCAAATAATAATATAAACTGAACACTGGGACTTTATTAGGAGAATGCAACCCTCATAAATAGAGTCCAAGTGTTCCTCTTTAATAAAGTTACACACATCTTTTACAAAAACAACAGTACATTGGGGGTACCATTCGGAAAACGAATGAGTTTCCAGACGCTAGTCGAGTCGTCAATGAAGAAACGAAGAGACAGAGTCGTTGTACCTGTAGAAGAATTGTCCAGAAGCCCTAGAACTGGATTTTCGAAAGCGTACAATTTCAGAAAGTTTCCATTTCAACTGATTTGATTCTCCAAAAGTTTGGCTTGGGATATGAAGTTGGTGAGCCCAGCTTTCAACGAATTCCCCACTAGCGCAGTGG